TTGAATAGTCTCAAATTGACTGATAATTTATTTAATAAAAATTTATATGTTTTTAATGTAAATAAAATAACACAAAAAAAAGAATCTTTTCAATTTCAAATTAAAAAAAAGTAATATTATCTAAATCTTATATTTACTGTTATTCCTTTCTAATATATTTTGAAATAAATTTAAAATGGCGTAGAATTTTTTTTTTGTTATGAAAAAGTATCAATGATATGAAATGATATAAGAGCTCATTATAATTAATTATAAATAATGGCAGTTTTTTTAGTCGCAATTTATGAAAGGGGTAGACCATAGATAGTTAGATACGCCCGTGTGAAGAGTTCATGTTTCATGCCGCGTGACACTTTTATTGTTGGGGTGACCATAGGGGCCCAGGGACAATGGGCCCACTGGCAATGCCACCTCATCACCGTTAGGATATGAGGCCATCATTGCCCGAGAGATGGGCCCGCCAATGCAACTCTGCCACGTGGGACCACCTGACTGGCTGTCTCCAGACAATTCCCATGGTCACCGACGGCTACCGCCCGTTCCCCCAAAGCGACGACGAGACAGAGACTCGCCCGAGTCATAGTGGGCCCCACTCCCCGAACGTGGCCACGTCAACCTACACTCGGTTACACGTGTTTCCACGCGCTCTTGACGCAAAGTCGCGCTTCCACGTGTCCCTGCGTGGGATCTGATTCACTTCGGCTTTCATAAAAATATGTTTTTAAGTCTTTCGGAGAGGAATGCACGTATGAACGTGACATTGTCAAACCCCTTAATTGCATGCATTTAGCTTAGCTCTCTCAGCACGAAATTTAGATATATTCCTCCTATTATTAATCTAAGACCTAATTATTGAGTTAGTTTTGGTTCTAAATATAAAACCTATTTCTCATATTTATCAATTTTCTCTAAATTACCCCTATGGATACTTCCTCAACCATAATCAAATAGAAGAGGGAGATGGAGTATTAAGACAGATGATTATGGTGTTTTAGGAAAAATGCGTCACTTTTCTTATGATTAACCAACTTACCTAACTTTCTTAATCTAATCAAATTAGTTAAATGGGTCTTATATTAAGGATCGGAGGAGTATTATATTATGAAACTACACACAATTTTTCAGTAAGATATATATATATATATATATATATATATATATAGCCAACTTTGCGAGATATATATAAACGGTATGATAGATATTAATAATGATAAATTAATATCAAAATCAGTATGAATAGAAAATGTATAAAAAAAAAGCTACATATCTCCGGACAATGATCGAGATCAACCTAATTTTTCTTTTATATTAAATTATTTTGACTCAATTTTGAATGATTGCAATAATTTAATAAAAAAATCATACATTGTAAATTTAGTTTCAAATTCCAAATGTTGTGACAAAAGTTTCAGCTATGGTATAAATTTATTAAAAACAAAACACACAAAGTTTTGATGAATTAAATACTAAAAGCTCGTTCAAGTTTGTTCTATTAATTTATTATATTAAACACAATTTTTCATCAAGTATTTGAATAAGAGTGTGTATATTTATAAGGGTTTAAAAATATTTTTAAGTAATATATGAATTCTAATTATAGGGTTGAAAGATAATTTAATAATGAATCTATTTTCCATTCATTTTTTTGACTAAAATGATTACTATAGTAATTTAGTAGCTGTTTCGATCAGTTCAAATAAATATTTTTTTACTTTACTAGATAAAACTCTTTTCACATATTTAATTAATTCAAATCAGCATTTAGTTGTGATTTAATTTAACAATAACTATGAAATATTATATTAAAATTTAAAATATAAGTATGTAGAGTACAATTATGAGGATAATCTAATTTTTTAACGGTAATAACAGCATTTATCATATTTGTAAATTATTTAATGCCTTTAGACCCCTAACTACGACATTTATTTATTTATTTTTTTGCCAGCCTAACTACGATATTTAAAATCTAGATAATTTACAGGTTGAAGAAATATCTTTGACTAAATCAATCAATTATATACACATTCTTTCGAAATTGATTTTATTTGATGTGACGTTAGGAAAAAATCTTTTTTTTTAAAATCATATTTACTGATCATAACAAACATAAAAATAAAAACTGAAGGGTAAAATTGTAAACAGATTTGTAATAAACAAAACTCTCGGGGAACTTTGGCTTATTTATGCAAGATATGTTCTTCTAGAAGGATCTCAAATTCACCAGTTGACCTTCTTAACCTTGGAGGGATTTAGTTTTATTCTTTCCTAAGGATGAGGTGATGTCCTAATGATGATAACATCTTGCAATTTAATAGTGTTAATGGAACATTCAGTTAAAAAAACAAAGTTATAACAGTCAATTATCGACTAGACTTTAGAATAATTTAACATAATTATTATTTTTTATGCCACAATATTTAGACCAATCACATTGATTTATTATTAATTTGTTATATATTCTGTTGGAGTTATAAAATTTTTTAAAAATTGTCAGTTTCACCTGTGTCTTTTGTTAACTAGATTTTTGTTTTGCAATTCATGAATAATGCAATGCATTTTTATGAAAATTACAGGATAAAAAAATCTAATAATATGACAGAAAGGACAAAGTGGGAAAATAACAGTTCGAAACATAATTAAATAATTAATGTTAAACATGGATTTTGACAATAATTAAATTTTTAGCTTTTACTACCCAACATTTTCTAATTGAACGTTTCTACTCACTATTAATATTTTTTCCGATACGTTAATAGAAGTACTAGTATACTGCCTTCTCTCATTAATATAGGAGTTAATTTGATTTTCAATTTGGTCCTAAATATAAAACCTAAATTTATTTTATCTTTTATATTTACCTTTTTTTTCTCTCAAAGTTGTCCTTATATTATGATAGTTGTATATGTTAAATGTTCTATCAAATAATAGTTTTAACTAATACACATGATTAGCAAGGGTATTTTAAAAAAGATAACACATATTTATTATAAATAACTAACTTAATTAATTTTCTTAATTTTTTCAAATTATTCAACTAGATCTTATATTAAGAATCGGGTGTAATATTAAAGTGCTTGAATTGTAGAGGCCTCCTAACACCTTCCAAGGAACAAAAAATCAGATCGGATACTAAACTGGTTGAGATCATGGTTCAAGGGTCAGTTGGTCAAACCAAGATTAACTCAGGGTCCAACCGATCATATTAAAATAATATAATTTAATTAAAAATAGCGAAATATAACAAATTAATAATCAATAATAACAAAATATAAGGAAATATGACAATAGTTTGAATATGACAATAACAAAGTATAACAATATTGAAAATTTTGATCTTTATAGTTCATCATTAACTAAAATTAATAATTATTAATACCAAAATTATCATTAAAATTCATTTAAATCTATAGGGGTTAAAATATTAGGAGCTGAATGAAAAAAAAAAAACCAATAACAACCTAATAATCCAAACTAGTTTATTACCGGTTCATATCGGTTTTTTACCGGTTTTCATCAATTCACATCGATTTGACCGGTTCGCCACCAGTTCAACTCCTCCCTAGTTTAATATCCAAACCGAACCGAATCACTGATTGGTTCACCAGTTGAACCGGCTGGTTCAATCCGGTTTTTTGTTATTTGATTTTTTCCTACCTTTACTATCTGTGTTATAGTCTTGAGAGGGGATAAATATGTTAATGGGTAGGAATTCTCTTCACTTTCTTTTTCATTCTATTCCTTTTCTTAACATAATATTAATATTTAAATAATTTATATTTTAATTTTAATTTTTTATAATTTAATATTCTAATAGTAATTTTATAAAAAATAAATTTAAACCATTTAAACATTAATATAAGGATCACAAAAAGAGAAGAGGAAAGATGGGAAAAGTATTAAAAAGAAAAAATTACTATATAGTTTCACACAAACAATTTAATTACTAAAATGTCTATTGATCATAATCTTTTGTGATTTCTTACATCGAATTTGTTATGCTATTTACTTGTGGAGAAATTTCTTAGTAATTAATGCCTTTATAGACTGCACAAAGAAAAAAGAGAAAATGATCGCTTCTTTTTATTTTTTTTTAATCAAAGACACGTATACTAATGACTCAAAGTTATAAGGGATAACAAACTCACAATTTTTCGTCTAGAAACAACTTTTATAATTTCAAAAATATTAATAAAACTAGTTAATTTAATTAATTATAATAAATATGTATTATTTTTTTATAAACTATTACATTTAATTATGTAAATTAAAACTATTTTTTGATAAAATCCTTGCAATAAATAGGATATTTCATATAGAACATAAATTTGAAAGACAAAATCGATTATAATTTTATACTTAGAATCAAATTTAATCTCAACTATCGATCTTATATCTATATAAAATAGCATTTAAAATTAATTATAAGTACATTTTATATAAATTGAGACAAAATTCTTCTTACATAATTATCTCACATTACCTTCGTTTCTGATTATAAAAACTCATTTATAGTACCATATTTTAAACCCCTCACTCCCCATGACTATTATTTTTTTTGTTAAAACATAAATATTTTTTTATTAGAAAAAAATTTTATTCAAGATATTATTAGTCACTAATTATAAACATTTCTTTTAACATATATTTAATGGCCCAGTTTCTGGGTGGAGTGCGGTGTTTCCATTTTAACTAGGCCTTAGGTGTCATCCTCCTTGGGAAAGAGAGTGGTCAGTCAAGGCCCTTACGCGCTCAACCAGGCCCACGGTGGTCACGCGCTCTCGCCGTTGGCAGTTGGGACGTAAATTCACGCGCAATGGGAAGGCTAAGGGAAAGGAGGCTAGCAGGGATTGTTTTGTCATTTTTTATATTTATTTTTTAATATGCTTCCAAATTCAACAACCGGTGAACGTTTCCTTATGGAGCACGTTTAGTGGGAACCGAAACGTTATAAATACCCTCCATTTCTGCGTTCCATCCTTCTTTCTTCTCCTTTCTCTACCTCCTCAACGTTTTCTCGCTTTCTCTTCTGCGCTTCCTTTTCTCTCTCTGACAGATTTGCCGCTTCATTGCTTTCCTTTTTCACACTCTGCCCCCTTCTCTTTTTAAGCTCTGTTGTATTTCTCAGCTTCATTCTCATCTTCGTTGTTCTTGCTCTTACTCGGCCTACACATTACCTTCCTTTCTCTCTCTCCGTTTGGCCGCCTAGAAAATTACCGAGAAAAAGAGATACTGTAGCTGAAATATCCTTACCAAACAGTCAGTGCAATCTATTTTTTCTGGTTGCTCTGTTATTCTGCTGGCTGTCGAACTATACATCGGTTCGTGCTTTACTTGGTGTTAGTTTTGTTACTGGTTTGTTTCGTTTCTGAAGATTTGGCTCCTGGAACCTGCATTCGGAGGATTATGAGTTTTCTCATTTCCTTTTTCTTCTGTTTGGAGCTCGTATATTAGGTGCGTTATGAATTTATGATTAACTTTCTTCATATTGCCGCTTTCTCTAATCGGAATGCTTTAAAAAATTTAGATTCTAAGAGTCCGGTGAGGATTCGTGTTGCTTTTTTTTTTCCCTCTTTTGTTATGGTCTGATTTTGACGGCGTAAATTGCTTGCCATGAGGAGAGTTCGGTGACGTGGAATCTTTCCTCTTGCCTTGCAGTTTAGAAGTATTCGGTCATATTTTGAATATTAGAAGCCGGTCAAAATTGGGCTTTAGTTCTTAATCTTCGTCGGCCTACACATTTCCGTCCTTCCTCTCCCTGTTTGACTGCCGGGAAAGTTACTGACATAAGATTCTTTAATTGATTATTCTACCAAGCTGTCCGGGTATCTACTTTTTTCTTCTGGTTATTCTGTTGTTTTATTGGCCGCCGAACTATAATCAAATCGTGCTTTAATTAGGTATAAGTTCTTGTTTGTGGTTTATTCCCTTTTCTAACGTTTGGGAACCCGGAACCGGCACTCTGAGGATTATGAACATTCTCATTTCCTTGTTCCTCTGTTTAGAGCTCCTATATTATGTACGTTACGAATTTATTTAATCATTTTTTCATCTTATTTCCCCTTTTTTTGCGCAAGAATGCTTTTCAAATTGAGATTCTGAACGTTTCCTGGTTAAACTTTGTTTTTCCCTTCGGGTTATCGTCCGATTTGGACTGCGTATATTGCTTTGCGATTGGAGAGTGCCGTGACGTTTTGGCCCATGGAATCTTGCCACTTACCTCTGCAGTTGATGATTATTCAATTATAATTTAGAAATATTAGCTTGTCAAAATCCGGGCCACCTGTCTTAATTTAAAGATTATGAGTAGTATGCTTCCTTTTTCCCCCCCCCCTTTCTTCCCCTATTCTAACATATAATCATCTTCTTTGACTGGTCTTTAATTGATTGGTTAATTCAGTTTTTTTCAGTTTTCCGACCACAGGATGGATACTGTCGAGTTTGGACAAAAAATTCTGATGTGTCTTCCTTGGAACTATGTTTGATTAAGCTGATGTGATTTGTTGATTGTTTTATGCTTGATTTTTTTCTTTTCGAAGTCTGACAGTTCCTTGTCCTGATCTCGTAAAGTATTTTGAACCATTTAAAAGAAAAATAAATAGGGAAAAGTCAATTTCCGTGAACTCTATATCTTTTCTTCGTCTACATCCTAGTGTTGTTCCCCCCTAAAATAGGGAGCAGTTTCATTTATGCTGGGGGGGGGGGGGGAGTTCTGGCCTTTGTGTTAACAGGCTTCAAAGAACCATTACATACACAATTGTGGATTTTTTTTTCCCCTTCGGTTGTCATGATGCTTATTTGGGATCACAACAGAAGTATGGTGTTCTATATATAAATGGTTACTGGTGATAATCTATGTCAGTTGTCTTTTTTATTGCAGAATCTTTATTTGTTGGGTCCATATGTATTATTGAGTCCCATGCTTTGTAGGCCCGTAATGTGTGGTTGCATAGTTCTTTCCTGTCCACTGCATGGGGTAGGACAGCTTGACAATGTGTACATAACTATTATCTGCTTAGTTATGTTTTTCTAAGGAAATTTCACTTGCTCACAACGAGCACAATATCTATTTTCATTGTCTTGATGGCCTTTTTTTCTTTTTTTTCTTTTTCCTTTCCTTCATCCTTTACTATTGTTGATTTTTAGCTTGTGGTGTAGGTGAATTTTAGTCCTGTGTGATTCCTTCTTTCTGCTTCATCATGTTCTAGTCATTCTTGCCAGTGATTTTTACTTTGTTTTGCTGAGCAAGTTGATGGCTTAGTTATTACTTATTAGGAGAAGGTTACGCTTTTCCTCTGCCAAATAGCTGGAGATATTGGGTCATTTGTTCTATTTAATCGCTATTTACTATATGATAATTAGATTTCATCGACTTTTTCCACTTTTGAACCCTTAACATTATTCATTGTTATCATTGTGAGTATATCAATCCAAAAATTTTTCAAGAAAGTAGAAACCCTTGGTATCAAGCATGGAAATCTCTGTTATGAATTTAACATGTTTTCTAAAACTGAATTTATCTTCCCTGGAGTTGGGAATATGAAGTTTATTATAAAATATATGAATTATAGAAGTAGGCGTACCAGTGTCATGCGCAATATTAGTAGGGTTCAGTGAAACTTCATTTGAAAAATATTTATTCTTATCCTTTTGTTCTTTAGCAGCCATATATATTGATTTTTAGAAATAACAATAGAGAATAATTACTTAGAATGTTTAATTTACTTTAACCTTCAGCATAATATTTATATTGTCATATGGGACTGCAGAATTTCTTTACAATGGATTAACTGAACTGTGATGGTACGTACTGTAGATGCATTTTTCTTGTTCAAAGACAGATAAACTACTCAATTATGGTTCAAGGTGAGCCTCAATAATATTGAGTTGTCCATTAAGGTCTATGCCTAGTCTGTGGATTTCAAATCTTAGGTTTACTGCTTGTAGGATGAGATCCTTACTGTCCTCATTTGGATTTTAGTGAATTGGACAGTTTTAAACCAATCAATTAAGCAAGAACCCATGCAACTTCCTTCCTTTTTTCCTTTTCTTAATTTTCTTCCTTTGTGTTTGTTTTTACATGGCCAAGTGGATTCATGCTTTGCAATTATTCTTCTAATAATAGAAGTTCCAGTACCTGTCTTCTTTACTTTTTTTTCATGCTCCCCACTTTTTCTGGCTGCTTCATATGTTCCATAATATAATTGTCTATGCATGTCAAGCGTCTTTGTCATTTATTGGTTTGTTGTTGACAAAAGCATTTGCATGTGCACTTTTTGTAGTCACATCCGCTGAATTTTCTAGCTGCTTTTCTATGCCTACTTGAGGCTGCATGTATTTAATGCCCCAACCAAATTCCTCTCTCAAAATATATGTCTTCTGGTAGGAGTCTTCTTTAATTTTTCTTTTTTGCTTATGGTAAGATGGAAAGGTAAACTTGAATGCTGTTTGTTTCAATAATTCTGCTGCTTGTGATTCAATGAGTTCATAGAAAATTGATCATATGATCATTGCTTTCAGGAGCTTGGCAGTTGATGGACTGTTACCCTAAGAGTAGTGACAAGAAAACATTGAAGAAGTGGTTTTTTATTGATAAAAGAGTTGGTTGAAGTGAAAATTTGATATTGGCTCAATTGCCGATCAATACGCTACTAGTTTCTTAAATTCCTGCTGCTCTACAAATTAATCTACAAAACTGGATCCAATGGACCTGAAGTCAAATCATACTCCTGTTCTTACTGATGCTGCACCCATAACGAAATCGAGATTGGGCGTGCATTCCAGTCTGTTGCCTTATTCTCCAACAGGGGCAGCTTTTCCATCTGCCCTGCTTCTGACAATCCCTAGGAAGAAGGCAGGATTTCTTGATGATGTTCGTTCTAGTGGTTGGCTGGATGCCATGAAATCATCTTCTCCTACAGCCAAGAAGATAACAAAGGATATTAATCATGGTTTTGCATCGTCTGATGCTGATAGCGCTTACGCTACCTGGCTGGTATTTCTTGTTTCTGCAGCCTATTGTGTTTGATTTTAGTTTCCATTTGTATAATTCTGGATGGGTTGTTTATTGTATTTCATTTTCTATGCTTTTCAATATCACAGCTAAAGTATCCATCAGCACTTACGTCTTTTGAGCAAATTGCAAACTATGCAAAAGGCAAGAGAATAGCATTGTTTTTGGATTATGATGGAACTCTTTCACCAATTGTGGATAATCCTGACTGTGCTTTCATGTCTGACAATGTGAGTAATCTTCTCCAGATTTTGGGTCCAGTATTTGAATTGGGAGCTACTCTTCAATTGTTCTTATTTTGCTGAATTTGATTTGGTAACTTCTTTAGATGCGTGCTGCTGTTAAAAAAGTGGCAGAGCTTTTTCCCACTGCAATAATTAGTGGAAGAAGCCGTGACAAGGTATTTGGCTTCTCTTGAACAGTTTATTGCAATTTTCTTTCTCTTTTTATTCTTCTGTAGCTATATGCATATTTGTGCTCATGCGGAACATTCTAACCTTCTCCACACCACAATTTGCTCAGGTATATGAATTTGTAGGACTAACTGAACTCCATTACGCTGGTAGCCATGGGATGGATATCATTGGTCCTGTCAGACAATCTGTATCTGATAACCATCCTAATTGCATTAGGTCTACTGACAATCAGGTACTAAGGTTCAATCAAAGTTTTGATTTGGTGTTAACTTTTACACGTTATTTTCTCTTGTCTTCTCAAAAAGGGCCTCTTTTAAGATCTTTGAAAAATAATACAGGGAAAGGAAGTTAATTTATTCCAACCTGCTGCTGAATTCTTGCCCATGATTGATGAGGTGGGTATATTTGAAAAATCCTACAGTGAATCAGCTTCCAATCTTTTTCTCTATTGGACTATGGCATTCTGACAAACTCATGTTTGGGCAGGTGTTTAATTCCCTTATTGAATGTACAAAAGACATTAAAGGTGTAAAAGTTGAGAGCAACAAATTTTGTGTCTCTGTACACTATCGCAACGTAGAGGAGAAGGTAAAGGATCCTGTTCTTATGCTTAATATTTTGCTTAGGTACCTATTGCTTTTCATAAAAGATTAACTGTTCTTAATTAAAATGCAGAATTGGAATATGGTGGGGCAAAAAGTCCATGATATTCTGAAAGACTATCCACGCTTGCGATTGACCCATGGGCGCAAGGTACCAAATCAAACTATATTGAATTATGAGTAATCACACTTACCTTGAATGCTAGATTTTAGAAAAATTGGACTGCTATACTATAATTAAATGAGCAAATATTTGGTATTTTATTTTGTTTGAGAAATAAATTGTATGCTAAAATATGGTAGTAGAGTGCAAAACAGTGATAAATTAACTTAAAAGTTATGAAGATGATAATTATGATGGAAAATTTTAATTCAGTTGTGGAATTTTGAAGCAATCTATCCTATTTAGATTATTCAATAACCTTTATCAATAACCTTTATTCCCTATTTTTCAGGTTTTAGAGGTCCGACCAGTGATCAACTGGGATAAGGGCAAAGCTGTCACATTTTTACTTGAGTCACTTGGTGAGTTCATTTCCTATTTGTTTACCTCTGCGTCACTTTATGGAATGTCAGAGATATCTTTGTTTTGCAGCAAGTGACATTGGAAATATATTTACAGGGCTTAGCAACTGTGATGATGTGCTCCCTATATATGTTGGAGATGATCGGACTGATGAAGATGCTTTTAAGGTATGACACTTGACATGCACTAATTTATGTCCCCGAAATGTTTTTTGCTTTCGCCCTTCTTTCTCTTCCCCCCTCTCAATTTTCCTGATCAACTAAATTTTAACAGGTTTTGAGGGAGGGGAATAAAGGTTATGGCATCCTAGTTGCTTCTGCACCGAAGGAAAGCAATGCAGTCTACTCTCTCCGTGATCCATCAGAGGTATTTCTCAGTTTCAACATAACAGCTTAGGAGGAGGGGGGGTGTGTAAAAAGAACTTGGGTCAAAATCGTATAAATTCATCCAAACTTCTCTGGCAGGTATTTTGTGCTCTTTCGGTCCTAAATATAAGACTTATTTTATAGTGTAATTTACACTATAAAATGATTCTTGCATTTAGGACCAGAGGGAGTATTTTATCTGTAAGGAATAGGCTGCTAGCAAAATACACTTGAAATACTACATAGATCTTTAGGTCAAGCACATTGGCATTTGATGTTGGACAGGATTGAAAAATAAAAGGGCTGAACAAAGCTGATCAAAATCAAATATGACGGAGATCTTTTTTTTCCAGCCATGCTTTCCCATTTTAATCAAAGTGGTCATTTTATTTGATGATCAGACTATGTATAAGAAACATACTTAAAGAAACTCTGATCTTACTCATGCCACCATGAAATATCCTTACGCCTGAATACTGATATTGTTTACCCATATAAATCTTAAATTAGTCAATTATTTAAAAGATTCATAAATCTCAAAAGATGACATGATTATCATCATCATCATATAAAATGATAAATCATCTATAATCTTATCTTCACGCAATGTCGCCTTAACTTCTTCCCTGATGTTTATATTTGCAGGTCATGGAATTTCTCAAGTCTCTTGTGTTTTGGAACTCAGGCCTCCTTAAAAGTTACATATAGGGAGGAGAATATAGTCTACTATATATCTAATAAAGATAGTTTTATGTTTCAAGATTTTTGGGTCTCCAAGCAAAGTACTCCAGGAGGTTTCTTGGAGCGGATTTCAGCACAGAAGCCTCTCATGGAAAAGCATAGTCTCTGCCTGTAGTAACTGTAAATTCTTGGCTCATAATTATTTCATAAAGTATTACAGAAATATGTGCTGAGGGTACTTTCCTATCAGAGTATATTAATGTTCAATTCATCTCACTTTCTTTGTCAATTTTGGTCATTTTCTCTGATTGTTCATTCATGGGTTCCACGAGAAACTACTCATTTGTTAATTCTTTTATATGTAGAATGATATACATAAATTACATTTTTAAATAAGCTTAGTGGCCATTGCGTGAATGTTGCCTAAGTAAGGGCTCCCCTTTACCCACTCCCATCTCTTTTTATGTGTCCCTCTGCGATAAAATTACTAGGGTAGACTTTGGCAAAAGAAAATTCTTCTTCTTCAGATGCTTTCAAATAGCTAAACTCTCTGAACATACTTCAGCGTTATGCTAGGTCTAACTTTGGTAATGACTATTTTCATCTATTAATTAGTACTACTGCTATCTTTGAAAGAGCTCATTTTGAAGAAACACAACATCAAGCTTATTGTGGCTTTCCCATTTTTCTTCGCTCACGTTTTTGGTTCCATCCATTTTTGTATTGTACGGTTGATTGTAGAAATTTAGTTGTCTGCCTCCCCCCCCTCTCTTTCGCGGGCCAAAAGTAGAACTATAGAAGAAGGAAATGAATACCATTCAGCCTGTCAACTGACGCCTCATCAATAGAGCCGGGAATCAGGGCTGGCCCGGCCCTCCAGGGCCGGCCCTTCAGGGCTGACGGGCTTAAAAGGGCCGGCCCTCCAGGGCTGGAATTTTAAAAATATCCCAATTTGCTAGGCCCGGCCTTTAAGCTACAGGGCCAGGGCCGGCCCGCGGGCTTTTGGCCCGTTTAAGAAAAAATACTATTTTTTATATTTATCATATTTTTTATAAAATAAATCAATGAAATTATTAATAAAAGACATAAATATGAATAAAATTAAGTCACATATAAAATATCATCATATATAAATATTCATCAACATCTAAGAACATCTAAAACATTCATTAACAAGATAACAACATCTAAAAGTTTTATCTATAATGCAATTGTGCAATAAATAAACACTATTATTAATCTTTTGAAACTTCATCATCACTATAATTAATTACTTTTCTTCATAAGTATACTTTTCTTTCATAACAAAAATATCAAGTTTTTCTTCTTTATAAGAATTTTATTTTTAAATTTTGCAATCTAACTATTTTTTTACTTTAATGTGAGAAACATTGCTGTTAAAACTCATGAATTTCTAATTCAAATTATAGAATCACAAGTTATATAAGTATAAAAATATTCTATTATCAAATATATATATAGTTTAAAAATATCAACGCATATAATATAAATCAAATCATTATTAAAATCCAAATTAACCCATTTTTAAAAATTTAATTGGATAAATTATTATCTAAAACTAAATTTACTTTTAAAATGATAATAATAACTAAATATTTGAAATATTATTAACAATGTAAAAAATTAATAACGTTAATATATATATAAAAAATTTTAAAAATAAAAAAAAATATAAAAGGGCCGGCCGTGGCCCTCCAGGGCGGCCCTTTTAAGCCCTCGGCCCTCCAGGGCTTATGTTTCATTTTAAGAGAAAAATATCAAGCCCGGCCCTCATAATTTCAGGGCCTAAAAGGGCCGGCCCGACGGGCTCGGCCCGTTTTCCCGGCTCTACTCATCAATTGGGGGAGGGAAAAAAAAACCTCCGAAAAGTGTCAACCTCCACTAAGTAAATGGTATTGTCGCAGATTATATGTCTATCGAATTTAACTTATAGAGATAAAAATATCTTAATAAGTAGGAGAATTATAGGAAATAAAAATTTAACACAGGGGATAAAAAGAAAATAAATCATAATCTTTGACGAAAAATTTAAAAAAAATATTTAAAATGACAGATCTGATTTTAATAGATTTCGTACAAAAATATTCCAAACCACTACAAGAATAATTAGCATTATATATTTGTTATTTTGAAATTTAACAGGTATGTTTTTGTCATTTTCTCAACTTTTTTTAAATAAGTTTTATATTTAGGATTAGGACCACAAGTATATAGGAAAAAATGATGTAATAACCAATAGTACTTTCCTAATCCTAAATGTAAAACTTATTTTATAATATAATTTACACTATAAAATGAATCTTATATTTAGAATTAAGGAGTATTTTTTTACTTTTCTTTTTAAGTGAAGGGGTCTTGAACTAACCAGAACCTTTGCCTTCCCTGCTTCCCAAATCCACATGCTTTACAATAAATTCCAGTTACTAACAAGATATTAAGTCCCTTTGAACCAATACACACATCTAGATATATTTACTTTTATTATATTAGAGAATTTAAAAGCTAATCAATTTCCATAGGTTCTACCTTTTTTGAGAAGGCAAAATGATTATCATTATAGTAAAATTAACAGTCTACATCACAATATTAGTTACTTGAAAAAAAAAGTATGAAAGAAACGGTAAAAAACCTATAATCATTACACTTAGAGATAATTACTCTAGAAAACAAAAACAGGAGATGTTTGTTCACTGTCCAATCTCCCTTTCGAGGCTTTACGAACATGAGTGAGATCCACGAGCTGCTTCTTGAAGCAAATCAAGATGAGTTTAGAACCTTCCTTGAACAAGTCTTTCCCATGTGTACTACCCATAGCAAGATCTGCCTCAAAAATTGGTCTACCTTCCATAAGTTCTACTTACTACTTTTGCCTCATAAATTGATCACATTTTTCTCTAATGGAAAAAAGTAACTCTTGATTGGTATAAAAAAAATTAAAAAAAGAAACAAGAAAAAGAAAAAAAAAGGTTGCCTTTTGTTTCCAAACACAGCTTAATGCATGGGAATCATGCAAATACCTGTAAAAGCGATTAAATCACGAGCATAATCATCTGATTCGCGTGAAACCCAGCATTTCATATCCTCTTGATCTCCCTCGTTTCTGTTCACAGTTTCTAGAATCTCGTAATTAAGTCCCACCTAAGAGAATTAAATATAAAAAAGTCATTTGAAATTATGAAATTATTCTGAATTTTCAATGGACTTTTTTGTAATAAATTTTATTTATTTGATTATCAAATTGCCCTTATTATCATTTTTCTTAAGTTTACATTGACAACTGAAAGAGTAGTCGTTGACAACTTAAGGTACAATGATTGACAACTATCGCGGTAGGCATTGACAACACATTTTCTCAGCACATCATAAAATGTAATGCATGAGTTGTCAATACCTCCGTGAAGTTGTCAATCCTTGCACCTTAAGTTGTTAATCACTGCTTTTTCAGTTGTCAATACAAACTTAAAAAAAAAAAGAAAAGGTAATTTGATAATTAAACAAATAAAATTTATTGCAATAAGGTTCTTTGGGACTTCAGAATAATTTCAGAATTTTAACGAATTTTTTATATTTAATTCTCTTGGATGAGACCTAATTACAATTTTTCCATCTCTTTAACCAATTTAAAAAACTGGTCAATTCAATCGTATAGTCCCTTTGGGTCGTTCCTACGGTTCTAGAATGATTTTGGGGTCCAGGATAACTTCTTGAATGTAGATCCCGTCGGGAGTTAACTTATTGGATCTCACAAGAAATTGTAATGCTTTCCAAAATTATACTTGTTAAATTCCCAGAAGACCACAAATTTCCAAGAAGACTAAAATGTTATTTGATATTTAATTTTAACAGAGGGTTAACTGGGAAAAATTGATATATAATATTAAATAAGACATATATTTTGGGACAGGAAAAGTTTAGAAAAAAACGACTTATATTTTGGGATGGAATGAGCATTTTGCATGAGTTTTTGGGGTATTTAATGCCTTTTTCCCGGGGGTAAAAAAAAAAAAAACACCCTCTTGCAAATTTCTGATAATTATATAGAGAAAGTATTTGTCTTGTTAAATTGGTGTTGATTTGGGGTAACAAAGATAAAAACATTTTCAATTTCAAAATCATTTTAATGGGATACTAGCTTTTCTTAATTCCAGTTAATTCTAGCGAGAGTGGTGAAATTAACCTACATTTGTGGGCAGAAGAATATATAGTCGATAAATAATTTTGATTAATATAATTTTTGTTTCTAAAATTTAAAATCAATAGTTTTGATTTTAACATTTCACCTCTTTAGGTTTGGTCTCTGAAATTTGAAACTCAGGTCTTGATTCCTAAAATTTAACTTTATTTTGTTCCTCTTAAAGATTTTTAATTTCTGGAACAGTGTTTTTTAAAGACCAAAACTATTGGTCTTAAATTTGAGGAATAAAAACTAAAGTAAGATTACATTTTAAGGATCAAAACTGTTGGGTTCAAATTTCAAGGAATAAAATCAAAATGAAACTAACAAATTTCAAGGACTAAAGGTATTGACCCATAATTTCATGTACGAAATTGTATGTGTGTGTGTTATACTTTTATCAGCCAAAAGAGTGTGCATGTCTATATTCATATACATACAAAAACACATTTGAATTTTTTTTCATTTTATTTATGTTATATCAAGAGAATTTCACCCCCGAATTTTTTACGCATACATCACAAATATGGAATTAACCTTAAGTGACTCTCTATTTAATATTTTGATATATATGTGTGTGTGTAAATTAATCCTTGTTCAGTTGAAATACAAGTTGTATATCATGGATCTACATGTCCCTTTGGTTTTATTTTATTTTTTTGTTGGAATTTATAGTAGGCATTATCGAAAGTTTCATGCGGTAAACATTTCATCTATTTTAAAGATTATATTTTTACCATTTCAACTGTTAATTTAATAATACCACTCTTTCAAGTAAATGTCATTGAGAACATCATTTAGTTTATCAAAAAAATAATTTTAACTTATATATTTTTAAAATTTTAATCATATTTCAATTTTTTTATTAATTAAATTTATTTATTTAGTAATATTTTAAATTTGAATCACATGTTACTTAAAATAATATATCTACACATATGCATAAAAATCAATTATAAATTTAATATAATGAAAAATAAAATATTCAATATAATTTTTGGTTTTTTATTTCAAGGTAAATTTTATTTATTTAAGTATAATATTTTTAAAATGTATTTAAATATTATTTTGCTTAGTTAATTGTTTCAAGTGATTGAAATTAAAGAGTGGGAATACCTAAAAGAAAAAATGGCATAAAAAGAAGTTAAAAATTGTAATATTCTAATTCAGGCATCTAAGAAGTCAAAATTTCAAAAGAAGAAGTGATGCATGGTCTGGTATTTTACAAATGT